TTGATTTTTAAAACCCATTATGTTTTACCTTATTCCTGTTTTTTTTTAATTCTCTGTTTTGTTTTCTCTAAATGTTGACACATGTTTAACTAATTTGTTTTTATTGTGTTTTTCATGTTACTATTTGAGATGGTAAGTTCTAGCTCCTTGATATTTATCCACTATTTACATTATTGTTTCAAGATTCCTACAGGTTTTTTCCCTTTTTTCTTTTTTCTAGACAGGGTCTCACTGTGTAGCCTTGGCTGTCCTGGAACTTGCTCTGTAGACCAGGCTGGCCTCAAACTCACAGAGATCCGCCTGCCTCTGCCTCGTGAGTGCTGGGATTAAAGGCGTGCACCACCACTGCCTAGAAATTCCTACAGTTTTAATTAATGCTTTCTTTCATCACACTTGCGTAACAGATGTGACAGTGAGGTAGCTCAGGAGGCTTGCCACCAAGGGCCTTGGGACCTGCGCTTTCATCCTGGGAACCTGAATAAAGGTAAAAGGAGAAAACTAGCTCCTAAAATTTGCTCTCTGACCACTACATATGTGCCACGGCACACAGGCATGCATGCACAACACACACTAAATAAGAAAATACATGTGGAAAAGAAGAAAAGGTTTTGGACTTGTGAGATAGCTTAGTGGGCAATAGCACTTTTATCCAACTCGGATGATCTGAGTTCAATCCCTGGAGCCCACGTGATGGAAGGAGAGAACCAACTTTCACATGCTGCCCCTTGACCTCTGCAGAATGCATGTCCAACATCCTTCCAAATAAACGTAAGTTTCTTATGAAGCTCTGAGTTTGGTAACATTTTCCCTTTATTTGCCTATTTCTCTTTAGATTTAGGGCATTGGTTGTACTCTGTTACATCATCTGCCTGTTTATAATGTCCTTACTGCTGGACAAAATCCCATTTGCCACTCCTGTAAGCAAAGATTATCACTGGTAGGTTGTGACTCTTCCTGCCACAACCTGATCAGCCTTCACTTTCTGTCTCTGTTTTTGTGCAGATGTCTCAGATGCTTACAGCATCATCTGACTGGGCTATTACAAGCAGCCCAGATATCCACTCAAGCTTAGTCAGCCCGTCTTCCAAAACTCCAAGACTTCCTTTATCTGCCTGCTTCCTTCAAACATGGCAGGGTTTCTCTTTGAAACCACAACTTTTGCGTTTTCAAAACAAAGTGGGCTCAGGAGGCCTCTGAGCCTCTCTTACACTCTGCCCTGCCACCAAGGTGACCCCCTCATGTTCAGGGGATCTTTCACTGCCATTGTCTGGGCTCTGTAGTGATGGAACACTGTAACACCCCTTTCTTATTCCTCTACTAATGTTTAGAAGGTCAGTTCTGCTCTCAGTTTAGTTCTCAGAGTTATTCCCTACACACCCACCCCCACACATATATACATACACACATACACATATGCACACATACATACATACATGCACACATACATACACACACTTTTAAAACGTTTTTTTTTAATTTAAATTAGAAACAGGCTTGGTTCACATGTCAATCCCAGCTCCCTCTCCCTCTCTCCTTCCCTGCCTCCCTAACCCCCTAGCCCCCCACCCAATCCCTCTCTGCTCCCCAGGGAGTGTGAGGCCCTTCATGGGGGAAATCTCCAAAGTCTGTCATATCATCCAGGGCAGGACCTTGGCTCTCCCCCATGGCCAAGGCTGGACATGTGGAATGGGCTCGCTCCCAAAGTCCATTTGTATGCCAGGGATAAATACTGATCTACTACCCAAGGCACTAGAGATTGCCGAGGCCTCCTCACTGACATCCAAATTCAGGAGGTCTGGGTTGGTCCTATGCTGGCCTCTCAGTCATCAGTCCGGGGTCCATGAGCTCCCCCTTGTTCAGGTCAGCAGCTTCTGTGGTTACACCAGCCTGGTTTTGACCCCTTTGCTCATCACTCCTCCCTCTCTGCAACTGTTCCAGGAGTTCAGTTCAGTGTTTAGCCACACACACACTTCTGTATTTCCCAAGGGGCTCTGATTCTGTGGATATCTATTTTTCTAGGTGACTCTAGGACCTATCACTGGTGGGTCCCTTCCCTCTTATTCCTGCACTCTTCCTGTTCAGTCTGTCCAATCTTTGGGACTCACTACATTCTGGAGTTTCTGTGTGTCTCATAAGCTCGTGGATTACTGAATGTATAAGTTGATTCTTCTGTGTTCGCTTGGTATGGTTTTCATAAAGGAAGACATTTGGACCTCAGCTGTGGCCAAGTTCCTTTTAAAAGTCTATTCTGGATTTTCATGCCTTTAAAATATACCTTGTGTGTAGAACAAAATAGACTCATTGTAACCTTCTTAGTATATTGTATTTAAGGCTTGCCAATGAGAGTTCTTTTTGCTAAAATAAACAGAATTATATTTTAAATTAATTAGTTTGATATTTCTGGAAGTTGAGGCTGGGGCCATGCACATTCTGGAACACTCTACCTGAGCTGCATCCCTGAGAAGGGAAGTATAGGTGCTCTACAACTTACATGGGTATTATGTTCAATAAGGCATCATAAATTTGAAAACATCACTCTGAAACTTCACCAGATCTACTGAGCATCACAGCTTCTCATAGCCTACCATTCACAGGTTCAGAGGACTTAACCTGGACCACAGTTGGGTAAAATCATCTAACCTAACAAAACCTACTTAATAGTAAAATATTCGCAGTCTTTCACATTTGTTGAATACTGTGTTTCTCAGTGTTCTTGGGGGAACTAGATCCAGGACTCTCATGAGTCCCTTACATAAAATGGTACTGTATTTGCACATAACCTACAAATCCTATTTTCCTTAATTATCTACCAATTGATGGCAATGCCTAGTTTAATGCATGTGCTGTGTAAATATCAGTTACAGTATATTGTTTTGAGAATTAAAAGGGGAAAAGTTTGTACAAGTTAGTACAATTTTCCTCCTGAATATTTTCAGATCTGCAGTCAGTTCTCTGCCTGAAGTTCCAAACATGCAGCCAGCCCACTGTACCTATAACCAGAGAGCCCTGGAGGACCAGCAACTGTGGGCCATGACTGACTGGAGGCTGAGTCTGGCTCTTGCTGCCTAGCAATGGGCCTGAGGGTCTGAGTGTTCAGACTGCCTACCAATATCTTCGGAAAAGACCCAAAGTATAGTTTTGCCACAAATCAAGTGACAAACCATCATACGCCAGAGACCTATTTCTCATCCTGTGGCTGCCTGGACAGAGTTAGCAACATTCTATCAACATTACCTGACCCTAGACAGCTCTCTTTGGCTTCTGCCAAGAGCACGTCTACACCAGGATTTCACTCTGTATACCTCCTCCTTACTTCTCTAGACAGAAGTAGAAGCCCAGAGCCAGGGGCTTCCATGGAACCTCTTCCCTCCTCACCTCCACTAGCAGCCCTGCCCCATTCTTGCCTCCCATCCTGGGAGAGATGTCCCTTTTCTTCACAACTGCAATCTTTTCATAGCTCCTGCCATCTTTTTGACTCCTAAAACTTCACCAGCTATCTTTGTCTCCTCAGCTTTCATTTACAAATACTCTTCACCTCTTCACCCCAGAGCCCAACCAAACCACCACACATATCCTTGTCTCTTGCCTCCTCCATTGTTCTGCTTCTCATTCTCTCTGCAGTATACCCAGCCTTTCCCCTAAGCATGGGCCACCAACTTTCCCAGCCATTGTATTCGCCTGCCCCCCTTCACACATGGACGCTGCTGTCACTAAGAGAAAACCAACCCTATCCCAATGACAGGAGCCAAACGCTTCCTTCTCTAAATCCCATCAAGACATGACACCTAGTATCTTGACTTCTAGAAAACAACGAAAACCAAAGCCAGTACAATCTCACTGGTCTTTTCTTTCCCATTTACTCAGCCCTCCCTCTTCACTGGGCTCCTATCTGCAACCACAGCACAACTTTATTTTGCCATCTGCGTTTGAGCTCAAATCTGAGGCAAAAGAGACCCAGTGCAGAGTATTTTTGCAACTTTTCTGCTCATGGTATTGTTCAAATGTAAGCAATCACCAGTCATTTAGAATATCATTGCTTGAAAAAAAATAATCTACTTCAATCTGTAAAATGTATGCGGAAGTGATAGCAAACTACGTTTTCATATGGACTGGAAGAGATAACAACCATTCCTTTAAAAAGTACTGGTGTTTTGCTGCAGGCCAACAAGCTTGAATTTAGGCATGGGAGACGTGACACGAGAGAACTTACATAGAAAAATGTGGCATGTAAGTAGTATCGTTCTTTTCTGGAAAACTGTTTTCTATCAGTAACTATTAGGTTTCCAAGCAGGGACAAAAGGCTGAGGTGCCTATTTAACATATCAAAGGGAACACACCTGCATGCCCCCCCCCCCATCCCTCAGTCCCTCTCAACTTGTTCCAGGGCACGCCTGGCTGGTATACCCACCCCTACTTTAAATTCTCCAGCTCAGGATCTGGGCTGTCCTTCCCCTAGATGCTCCTCCCTATATAATCCAGTCATTTTGGTTACCCCTCCCCCATCTCCTCACATGGCTCAGGGTCATGTTCACTCTGGACTCTTCCAGATGTCCCTGCCTCTTATTATGTCTCCCTTTTATCTACAATAAACGTTCTCTTTCACCATATTAGTAGCCTTTCCTTCCTTCTTTCCTTCCGTCCTAACTTCCTTCCTTCCTAATTTCCTTCCTTCCTTCCTCCCCCTCTCTCTCTCTCTCTCTCTCTCTCCTCTCTCTCTCTCTCTCTCTCTCTCTCTCTCTCTCTCTCTCTCTCTCTCTCTCTCTCTCTCTCTCTCTCTCTCTCTCTCTCTCTCTCTCTCTCTCTCTCTCTCTCTCTCTCTCTCTCTCTCTCTCTCTGTGTAACAAATCCGACTAACAGCAATATTGTGGAGATGATACAGTCGACCAGGAGCCCAGAAAGTGGACAGAGAACCATAAAGGGGTTCAGGTTGGTTACCAGCAGTGATGCCTATGACAGCTGTGGTCTCGTTTGTCTCAGGGGGAAAAAAAAAAAACTTGAGGTTGAAGTTTTCAGTAACTTTATTTTCTAAAAATATGCCCTAGGGGTATGTTTTCTTTCACACCATCCTTACTTCTTTAAAAATAAACAGAAACAAAAAAGCATAGGCTGGACGGAGTCAGCCCAATGCCTCTCGCAAAGCGTTCAGGTCCCTCAAGAGCAGCTCTGCACTCGGCCTCTGCAGGGCGCGGGCCTCCCAGCAGCTCCGGAGGATGCTCTGCAGCGCCTGCCCGGTCGGGGAGGCAGTGAACACGGCCCCCGCCAGCGACGGGCGCAGATTATAGGCCACCACAGCGTACTGCACCTGCTGAGGCTCGCCTGAGTAAGGCACCTCCCTGGTGGTCATCTGCCAGAGGGTGATGCCGAAAGAGTAGATGTCGGCTTTGGGCGTGGCGGTCTCTCCTTTCAGGAGCTCCGGGGCTTGGTGCGTGTAGGTGCCGCCTATGTGGTGAGGGGGCGTCTGCCTGCACCACAGATCTTGCAGCTTCTGAGAGCAGCCGAAGTCGCTGATCTTACAGACGTCCTGCTCATTGATCAAAATATTCGCTGGCTTCAGGTCCAAGTGCAAAATGCTTTGTGAGTGGAGGAAAAGCAGGCCGTTAACAATATCTAGGGAATACTTAAGGCACTTCCCCAAACTCAGTTGTTCTCGGCTACAGCTTAGATGCCCTGGAGAGCGGGTGGCACCGTAGATGACTTGGTGTAGAGTCACATTGCCCCCAAACTCCATGATTATGGTACCCAGGCTGTTAGAGCCTTCGGGCGTGTACGTGCTGGCAGCCACAACCCGGACTATGTTGTCATGGCGCAGTCTTGCAATGTTGAGTTCAGCCCAGAAACTCTGCTGGGAAGCACGTAGGTTCCTGGTGCACTTGTTCACTTGCTTTATGGCCACAGGAACACCGTGGTAAGTGGCTTTGTACACCGAACCAAACCCTCCAGAACCTAGCCTGTGCAGCAAGCATACCTGTTCCCAGTCGATGGAGCACCAGGCCAGCCTGCGTGGCAGCCGTGGGGCCCGAGGAGGTGTGGCTCCCAGAAAGAGCTTCCCAACCTTCCTCGGGACCACCAAGGGGCTGCTGCAGGGTCGCGAGTCCACCGAGGGTGACAACTCACCAGGGAGGTAGCGACACAGGGCTAGAGGCGATGGCATCACACCTTCAGGTGGGAAAGGCACCGGTGGTACTAGGGAGAAATGACTTGGAACAACCCTGAGGAGTCTGGAAGCATGGCTGAAGATTCCTGCCTTCACCCTAGCCCCTTTCCCTCCTATCCTTGTATTCTCAAAACGAGCTACATCTGTGCTATCACTCAGCAAGATGGGGGTGGGGTACAGAGGAAACACGGCTAAAGTAAATCCTTAGTAAAAAAAAAAAACGACCTCTCACGGGTTAAAGAGCACGGGCCTGCCTCAGGGCTCACCTCTCCTTTAAACTATTTCTTTAATCATAATACAATGAAAACGATTTTCAAGTAGCATCTGATGAGCATTAATCGGTCTTTAGACTGAAGAGGAAAAAAAGCACAGTGAACTTGGTGCACTTTTCAGGCTATAATGATTGTTAGTTCTAGCCTTCAGCTGCATTAAATCACGTCCAGCAGCTATCAGATGCAAGAGTTGCAATCCAAACAGCAGACATTTGTTGAACCACTTGCCAAGATGATTAGGTGCAACCTTCATAAGAATTAAAAATTGTAACTTTAATGCCATTAATCAAAATAGAATCAGTGATACAAGGCAAAACATGCACACCTCCTAAATTCATCAGAAGGGGGGATTCTGATGCTGTATTTGATTTCTACAGCAAGACTTCTTAACAACACCCGGATTTCTGACCAGTCCTTCCTTTCCAAGGCAGGTCAGGTCACCCCCAGCTTGCTTGCTGGAATTTAACACAGAGTTGGAGGGAGAGAAAAAGGAACAAGGTGATTGTGGTGACCATATCTGTAAATAAGCACAGGAAAATCAGGAGGAACAGGCGTGACACAGAATCACTGGGATTCATCTCTAGGACAGAAAAGCAGTTGCTAAACAAAATTCTGGGTCTGGCCACCAAACCAGACTCATCTTTTCCAATTTTTATAATAAAGCACTCATTTTTCATTGCTGTATCTTTGGGGAAAAAGAAGAGAGCAACAATCTTACCTTGTCATTTAAACAGTCCCTGAAAGTGCTTGGGAGCTACACTTTTCAACTGCTTGGTAAAGCTTTTTTTTTGTTAGAAGGCAAGTTAATAAAAGAGAGCCATTTCTATAAACAACTCAAAAGTCATACAACTTCAAGTTTCTACTTGATGGTAATAATATAGCTCAGTCTATCACCTTGGGCATAATATTTAATTGTTTCAACCTCAATGCTCTATTAAGACATTAGGATAATAACTATTAAAATTTTTGGGAGAATGAAAGTTGGGTATTTCTGAACAGATTAACAGAACAAACATGTTAGAAATGTAAACTATAGAGCATTTTAATATAATCCCCATTCTGTGCCATTGTACCAAATCCCAAATAAAAAAGGCATGGCAAAATATAAAAGTGCTGAAATTAGGTGGTTGGTGGTGGCACACATGCCTTTGATCCCAGCATTTGGGAAGCAGAAGCAGGCGGATCTCTCTGAGTTCAATGTGAGCCTGGTCTACAGAGCGAGTTCCAGGACAGCCAAAGATACATAGACAAACCTTGTCCTGAAACACCTTCCCCCCAAAAGAGTACTGAAATCACACTACAAATTTGCTCAATATCTATCACATAGATAAAATTACAGCTCTGAACTCTGAACTGTGGGCTTTAAGGGGATAAGAATAGTAGGGTGCCTTAAACCTCTGGGTATCACACAAAATACATTACAATGCAGTTCATAAACAATTCATTTCTAAAGCACAGTTTAGTGAAGGAATGACAAACAACCTACATACACATCTCAAGTTCACTCTTCCATCACCTGTTCATCTACTCAAGTTTAACAGAATGCCCATTACTCACTACTTGTTTTCTTTCATAGATATTTAAAATTACAAATGGGTTACATCCTAATAAGTCCATCATAGGTTGAAGGTAACAATAGGTGGAAAATGCATTTATTAGATGCTTTACCTACAAAATGTCAGAGATGGTTATCAACCACCATGACTGTTACAGGACATTTTTAGCCCAGGAAAGGTCTGTTGAGTGCCTTCGGATGTCACACCACTGTAAAGTTAAAACATTGTAGTCTGGAGTCATAAATCAAACCAAGCAAGCTGCCGTCACTCTGAAAAGATCTACCACCATTACCAAGTTTCTTTTCTGTAACACATAAGTTCTTATGATTTTTACTAACTTTATTTAATGCTGTGTCCACATGTATATAATGTTTTGGTATTTTTAATCGCTGATGGGTTTATGTAACCCATTTGTAGTGAGTAGTGAATAGTGGATGTTTAATTAAAAGCCTTGAGTGGATGAACGGGTGATGGGAGCAGTGAACTCCAGATTTGTGCCTACATTATGAATCATATTTTCATCAATACCTTGCTTTTTGGATAAACACTAAACTGGACGTTAGAATGAAGTATTTACAGATCTCAGAAATGGATAATGCTGGGCTATGGAGATAAACTACAAAGGATTAGACGCTGGGGTTGCTTACCGTTCCATCACCACTACCCCTGGAAAAGGTGGTAAACACACCCAACCTCGGGTTTGTGAGAAAGATTCAAATCTCCAAACTCTCCTTCGGTAGATGGCACTTAACTACTAAGTATTATTTATAAAACTCATAGAAATAAAACTGGTGAATGGGGGCTTATACCAAGAAACACAGATGTGCTAAAAGCACTAGTGTAAAATAATCTACTGGGGCTAAATAAACTCATTTTATTGTAAGTTAAATGTTTAAAGTGTGTTTTCCGGCACTTTGGTTTTGAAGCTAAAGATACAAAAGCACGTAACATTGTCCATATATGCCCAACCCATCGAGCGTTGATTTATCTGATCAAATGCAATAAGGCTTTGTGATCCCCAAAGGCAAAAAGCAACTTCTGAAGGTCGTGGCAGGTACGACCTAGGGTTGTAAAGGAGCTGCGCTGGTCCAGACCGCTCCTGGAAGGCTGCACATCCTCTGTTATCTCCGACCCAGACTCCGGGATCTGATGACATCAGCACGTTATCAGACGTGACAACAGACACGGAATCTGCAGCTCCCAGGACGCGGTTCCGCACCGGAGCCCCTCCGGGCGCACAGGCCGGCCCCGCCCCGTCGCGGGCCGCGCGGGCTTTTCCTTCCTGCTCCCGATCCCGGAAGTCGAGCGGCGGCGCCGTCGGGCCTGCCCGGTGGGTGCAGCCGGGCGCGGGACAAGTGGCTGAGGCCGTGGGGTTCCCGGAGGAGGACCCCGCCACCGAGGAGCGTCCCGCCCTCCCCTGAAGTCTGAGGGTCGTCGCGTAACGTCGGGAGATGCTTTGAAACTCCACAGACATCACGACATTCAACGCTCAAGACCCGCGGGAGTTGGGGGGGGAGGGCGGGGCGGCCAACGCCACGTACGCGCACGCGCAGTTCTGAACACAGGCTGCTCAGGGGCTGCGGGGGGCGGGGCGGGGAATGCTTCAGTGAGCTCAGGTTTCATCCAGCCGGATTTCCGAATGGCGAAGTTGGAAGCTGTAGAGTATTGGAGCCCTTGGTGGTTCCCTCCCCCCACCCCCAATTAACAAACGCAAATACAAGTCGAAAATTCAAATTTGATTAAAAAACAAAAACAAAAAACCCAAACGTTAAAACACTAGACGAATGCATAGCTTACTAAGAATATGCAGAGATTCTCAAGGCAAACTTGAAAATAAATTACTGATTTCTCAGTTTATGGCAAGCATTATGGTATTTATATTCTTCCGAAATTTGAATTTTAAACCTAGTAATGGAACACTGACTTGTTTCTATATCTGTGAAGTGCACATAGAATGACTTCCGTTTCCCTGTGATCAACTTCGATTTACAGAGTTCGATCCACATTTTGTAGAACTGAAGCAAGTCCCTGTGTGAAACTTGTGCACACGATTTGGTTCTGTCGCTCATAGGAGGGGCACCCGCTACAATTTGGGCTGATTACTTGGATTTTGGATATTAACTCTAAAAATACATATCATATATACATACACATATATGCAAATGCCTTCTCACTTGATAAGATTTCAATACATTCAGAAAGTTTATAACAAAACTTGCTATAGAAACTTTTGAGTTTAATGATATCCTGCAATTTTTTCATCTTCTTGAACATAAATTGTTCATGGATATTTGAAAGTGCATATGACTGAAATTTAGAAATTCTTAATGTTTTTATCACAGCTTAAGAGAACCTTCTGTTAGCCAGGCGGTGGTGGCACACGCCTTTAATCCCAGAGTGGCAGGTGGATCTCTGTGAGTTCGAGACCAGCCTGGTCTACAAGAGCTAGTTCCAGGACAGCCTCAAAAGTCACAGAGAAACCCTGTCTCGAAAAACCAAAAACCAAAACCAAACAAACAACAACAAAAAAGAACATTGTGTTCTCATCCTTCTTTGAACCAGAAAACATTATGGATTAAATACTTATACAGTCTATATTTCTTACTGGTGGTCAGTGAATCAAAATAATAACACTTTTGATGAGAGAATCCAAAAGTAATACAGGCTATTCAATTTATCATCTTTATTCTGTTTTATGCATTTTTGTTAATATGGACTATGACTCTTCTTCTTACATTCAATGTATCTTAATGAACTACAGTAAAAATTATCTTTTATTGCTCAAACTGACCCACTTTGGCCAGTGAGTTTGGCCCATTTGTATTTTATTGGCATTGTCCCACTGATATGAATTATTTCTTGTCCTCCTCACCTCAAGTTAGATCAGGCTCATAGTGGCTTGAGGAATCTATTTCTCAAGTGTGTCCTGACAAAATGGAGTTGGAATTCATGACTGCAGAGGTAAATTTATGCATTAGGTCCATTTTCTTCCCTGTTCCTCTCTCACTTTGAGACAAAAATTGGAAAATGCTCTTTTCTTTTAACAGGCAAGCATTCCTATTGATTTTTCTAATTTAGTTTTAGCAGTATGGTTTCCAACTAAATCATCTTAGTTATTATTTTTTCCTCCTCTGTTTTTAGTCATCGCATTTTGAGTCAAGAAAATATAACATAATTACTGATTTTTATCTCAGAAATTATAAATGAAGTTCATTTTTTGCAGTTACTTTGTCCTTTCACTATTAGTCACTAAGAATGTACAGTCAAATTAATTTCTTACATAATAACTTACTCTGTAAGGATTTGCATGGCATATAGAATGTATAGTTATGGTAAAGTTTGGTGGTGTGTGATTATGTTTGAGATAAGCACACCATACATTCTAAAAAGGAAAATCAAAAAGGAGAAAACAATGCATTTAAAGTATTGTCTTTTCAGTTCTAGGGATGTTGTGGTTAACTAGATGGCAGATTTCTTAGATGGCAATGATTTTTAGTGGTTTGGGACCAGACATGGTGGCACATGTCTGTAAGTCTAGCATCCAGGAGCCTAATGGAGGAGGATTGCTGCAAGTTTGAGGCAGTATGAGTTACAGGGTGAATTCAGGGACTGGGATAATAGTTAAACTCTGTCTCAAAATAAATAAACAAACAAAGACCAAACCAAAATAAGATATTAGATCCTGGAGGATGGTTAAAAAATGTTCTTGGCGTATACTTCATGAGATGGAGGGTGACTGGAAAATCGAAATGAATTTTCTAGTTTTTGTATGAAAATTTCATCTGGCAGTCAATAACTCACAATGCAGTGTAGTAGTATATACTGTGGAGTTTGGGATGTAAGTCTCACAGTTCTGTCTTACATTGCTAAGTTCCTGGTAATATTAGGACCTACACAGAGCCATGTCCATTAAAATTTTACTTATTAGCATTTTAAATTTGTTGTTTTCTCTTTTTTGAGTTCCCTTTATTTTGTATGGTGTGTTTTTCTCAATTTAATATAATTACACACCACCAAACTTTACCATGTATAAAACAAAATGAATCTCTAAACTAATTTTATTATAATCCATGTCAGCTCCCCCACACCACCACAGCAAAACTCAAACCCTCCCTGCGTCTTTTACTCTCTCCTTCCCCCCACCCCGAAGCTTTTCCTTATATATAAAAAATTCACTCAATTCTTCTTGAAAAGGTACAAACAATTCTTTTTATTTTCTGAATTTTGGTAATGTAGGCTTATCTGAGAAAAGATTTCACTTTTATCTGTTCTATAATGTCCAAACATACTGCCTTTACTATATAAAGAAAACATCTTAGTTGTTATCTATAGTTTCTGCTTTCATAATGCC